TAATCTAACTTTAAAGGACAGTTTACAGTTCTGTAACGTTCGGAGTTAATTCTTGACACTCGGATTGCTCGAAGATCACGTGATCAAGCTCATTATACTAGCTCGCATCTCAGATTTACATTGCCGGACGCATCTATGTAACACGATCATTAATCTGTAGACAGTGGAGTGTATAGACTAGTGGAGTATATAAACTAGTGCTTATTAGTTCGGGGCGGCTATGCCATTCTGAACAAAAACAACATTCCTATCCGCTTGAGGCCTAACTGTATAGAAGTTACACCTTAGGCAGTAAAAAACCGCTTTAAAGACTTTTCATACTCCATTGTCTTCATAAGTTAGAAATATTTCAAGCGGACTGTCTAGGCTGTAACTTCTAGACGGTTTAGGCCCCAAGTGGATAGGATGTTATATTTTTTTTGTTCGGAGCGGCTACGTTACCCCGAATCAATAAATACTAGTTTATACACTCCACTGTCTACATGACAGATTAATGATCGTGTTAGGTAGTAACAACTTTAAGAGGCTTCGCACAATAAAAGGAACAGGGAAAAGAGAACAGTGAATAAGAATTTCAACTATCAAAGATCATGTATTGTGGAATACACAGTTTCTGATAGATTGACATTCTTATTCTCTGTTCCCTGTTGCTTTTATTGTGCGAAACCCCTAAAGCTCATGGCATATATAAAAACGTAAGGTCGTAACACGTAAGCAGTAAGGAAATCGTAAGATTGGATTCGCTACTGGCCTTACGATCTCTGCCGTAATTGGGCAATTCGCTTACTGATTACGTCTTACGGCTTTACGTTTTTGTATATGCCATGGACTTAATGCTCAATATCTCGACTCACAGGGCAAAGCGACGCTTTTTTTTGTTAGATTCTTTCGTTTCATGCAAAAACGCGTTGAATAAGCCTAATTTCATCGAAATCGAAGATAGCTCTTCTGAAGAATATTCATTTTGTTTCTGTGACAGATTTTTTAACCTCAATAGTTATCAACTTTAACTCTTAATATCTCGATCGGATCACAAGACAGCGACTTTTTTTGCCAGATTTTTTTCGTTTCATGCAAAAACGCATCCAATAAGCCTTTTATTGATTTTTGAGGTAAGTAATGCTAAACTGTATAATTACCGAAAATAAATATTGTTAAGTACATATTATATTAAAGCACTTTAATAAATGTAAGTAAGTATTTATTTATTTGCCTTCACATAAGTGATTACAAAAAACTTCCAAAATTTTACACTTTCTTAAATTCTTAATTTCTATTTCATTCCTCTCCTTATCTTCTCTCCTCTCTTTCGTTTTGCCTTTTCTTCGCATTTTGTATTTCTCTCTCTCTCTCTCATTCTCACACATACATACACACGTATAATATATATTACGCCACACCCACACCCTTGCACACACGCACATATACTTGCCCAGACCCTCTCATCCACACCCTCCCACTCACACCCATACACTCCCATAGCCTCCCAGCTGACCATTTTCATTTATTTTCTCTTTCTCTCCCTATCTTTCTATCTTTCTCCTCCCTTAAACGTTCTATTTTCCTCATCCATTCATACCCCCGTCCATCCTCGTTTAGTACCTCTAAATTTCTTCCGCCTTTTTCATTTACGTACTCACAGTTTTTCTTCAGATGCTCAATGTCTTCTCTTTCCATATCACACAATCTGCATTTCCTATCCTCTTCTTTCATCCAATACTTATTTCCTCTCTCTTCATTCCCACATCTCCATCTTGCTATTTGTACCATCTTCTTCCCTTTTTTCCTTCCACACCTTCGGATGTACTCTGGTATACCATTGACTCTTTCATAGTTCTTACACGTTCTTGATTTTTTTACCTTTTCCCCTCTCTCTTGCTCATCCACCTCGATATCCCTCTCTCTTACCCTGTCCCATTTGTTCTCCCCATATTCATTTAGACTTATCTCACTGACGCCTCCTCTCCATAAATAATCCCTTCTCTCTACACTCTCTCTTGTCCAATCTATCCATTCGCTTTTCCTTTCCTCCTTTCTCCTCTCCATCATACACAATTTCCCAATCTCTCCTCCTTCTCCTTTCTCTATCCTTTCTTCCCATCTCCCTGCCCGCCAGCCTGTCTCCACTCTAAGTTTATTTCTTTTTAATTCCTCCCTAACGATATAACCTGGTGTTGTCCTTTCCAGTCCTAATACCCATTTCAAGTACTTATCCTGTACGGCTTCAATTTCTTTCCACTCTTTATAACCCCATATTTCCACCCCATAGTATAAAATCCCTTTAACTACGCTGTCAAACAGCTTTAGCCTCCATCTCACATCCCCCTTAAATTTCCTCTCTCCGTAACTCCAAATCCAACCCATTGCCACTCTTGCCTTTCTTATCCTCTCCCTAATGTGCTCCTTATCTTCCCCATTCCTTGTCATCATGTATCCCAGGTACTTATATTTTTTAACTTCTTCTAATCTGTCCTTTCCCCACCACCAAAATCTCTCTTTTTCCCTTCCTCCTTTATTCTTAAACACCATGACCTTTGATTTTTCAGTGCTTATTTCTAATTTTTTCTCTTCCAGGTATTTTTTGAATCTTCTAATCATGTCTCTTAGACCGTCCTCCCCATCTGCTA